CGTCTTGCAGCCTCGCAGCGTGACTTTTGGAGGAAGTCTCGTACGAAGAGTGTGCCCTACAGGAGTGTCCCACAAGAGTGTCCTACAAGAGTGTCCCACAAGAGTGTCCTACAAGAGTATCCCACAAGAGTGTCCCGTAGCTGCAGCCGCAGCAGCCGCAGCAGCCGCCGCCGCAGCCTCCGCAGCCTCCGCAGCCGCAGCAGCCGCAGCAGCAGCCGCCGCCGCAGCCGCAGCCGCAGCAGCAGCAGCAGCAGCAGCCGGGCAGCAGCCGCAGCCGCGGGCAGCAGCAGCAGCAGCCGCGGCCAGGAACCAGCACCAGCAGCAGCCGCAGACATGCTACCTTTCGTCCACCTCCGTTTCCTCAAGTTTAGGGTGCTAACAAAAGCTCGAAATTTTGACATGAATGTCCAGTTATCCGCATATGTAAACAGAGTGACATGACAATTGGACATTCTGCGAGAATAGACAGCGGCATTGCACAAACAGATAAGGCATCCCCTCTGGCGCACCTGTTGTGGATGGCATCGGTCGACTCCAAGCCTTTAATTGGAAGAAAACGCTCCATGTTTTAAGCGAGCGAATCCAGAAGCCAATAATGGAAGGTGGAACCCCCATATGAATCAAGAGGCGCTTTGCCATTTGACTTGGTATGAGGGTGAAAGCTTTAACCAAGTCCAATGCAAAACCTCCTTGAGGAACATTCGTACTGTGTTTGCTCGAGTAAAAATTGTTGCTGTACCGTGATATCCTTCACGGATCGAAAGGGCAAACCGCCCGCAATTTTGGGATCCCATGTTTTTCCCCACGCCGCAAGGCCTTGATCTGCAATCATCTTGGAAGAAAGACGTGGGATACCATCTGAGAATGAGTTAGGGTGTGCGTTTTTGGCTAGCAAAATGACCTGTGCTAACATGTGTGTTTTATCATAGTTCGAGGGCCATATTTGACCAAAAATGGCCGCTAGATCTATAACTGCTGGAATGGAAGTAACTTGAGTTCCTGGGCCCGCCAACCATCTGCCCCGCGAGCCTTATACGATTTTCATTCTCTCGATCGTATCTCTAATTAAATGAGGATCGTCACAGGTGATATGAAGTTGAGGTTGGGCGGGTATATCTTCGAGTATCTCTTCCAAAGCATTCTCCCAGGCCGAGTCATCTTGCGCTTCATGCACAGTTTCCCTTCCCCACATCGGCATCCAAAATTGAAAGAAGTGCCTGGACATCTGGTTATATAATATCTTCCGTATATTGCGCTTGGTGCAGTTGGCCTCTGGTAGGAATATCGCAAGCGGTTGTTTGAATCTTAAGCAGTCGACCCTCCTGCACTAAAATCTCAGCCTCATGATTTGTTCAAATGATGCCCTGCCCGGACGAAAGACCGTGTCATCCGTTTACAAAAGGCGTGTATGGCCTTTGGATACCCGGATACGTTTTGCTTCAAACGTGCCCGGACAAGGGAGTCCAGGCATTATTTTTTGTTCTGGGTCCCTGAGAGACTGGAATATCAATGCCCCATTTTTGTCCTTTTGATCAAGAGAAATCCAATGGAGCTTTGCATATTCCCCAAAACTTGGGAGGCAAATTTTTCTGGGGACATCGAATGGGGTCTTGGCTATGCATGACTATAACTCTGAGTGTCGAATCAACTGCCTTTTCAACTGTCTGTCACCAGATCTCGAACTTACGTGCCGAGGTTGTAGTTGATTCGATAACATGGTGGATTTTATTGCGCATGGCATGATAGCGATACTGTTGATGGAAGACAGTGGAGTCCAACGGGAAAACAGACCAGTCTTCTGGTACATAAAGATTCACAGTATTCTGTCTATGTTGGGGAATAGCAAATTTGAAATAAATCGGAGAGTGATCGGCGAAAATGTGATCTGGGCCAACCCACATGGCCGCGACTGCGGCACCCTACCTATCTTCTTTTCCAGTTGTTGATTTGGTTCTATTCGCGCTTGTTCTCAAACAGTTTTGAAGCCTTGTGGTAATGTTGGCAAAAGCCCTGGTGGCTACCTACTGGTACCGTGCAATTAGAAACTGACAGATATGCATAGAGCATCATATAACATGCAATATTTACATTGGAAGAGAACCACTTACAAACCGTTCTTTGGACTGCAGAGGCCGTCATGGACCCTTGTGGTCTCTTCATGAGTGGCATCCATGTGTCCACCAAGACTATTGAGGCACCGCGGAATCTGTGCAATGTTTATCAATTTTTCAAACATGCAAAAGAAACGATATTGTAAACACTGTTGCTGTTGACAAAGGCCATGTTTGGCATTGCAGTGGTCGTGGTGATGTGCCTTGAACTCTTCAGGCTGTGTGTCGTTTGTTGTGGAATTGGCTGTCTCAGAATGATATAGCAGCTCTAAGAGTAGGAAACATCTCAGCAGCAAGAACGTTTCGGCAAAGTTGATTTGACTGTTTTGCTTTCCGCCCGTTGATTGTCTAGTCTACGGTGCGTTTCAGGTTCTTTTTGCCTGGATGAAAGTTACCTGCTTTGAACAAACGAGTGCCCGGAAAAAGCACGGATATGCTGCCATGTTAAGCTTGAGGCACAGGTCCCCTGTGGCAGTGAAGTGTATACAGTATACATGGGTAGCAAGGGAACATGCTCTCAACACTCCTTTTGTTGTATTCTTACGTGTTACGGATGTGTCTATGTATACAACCCATACATATATGTATACGGTATATATAAGTTGTGCATACATAGCTAGATATCGGACTTTTGAGTTGAGCATCGAGGAACAAAAACACGGCTATACATTACAGTATCTAGTAGATAGTGATGCACATGCAGTGCTTTAGGAAACAAAACACATACAGTTGCAGCACATTTTACTCTCTGTCACTCAGACTACCGCGCCAAGGGTTTGCGTTCAGAAGAGGAAAAGAGAATGAAAAGTAGGTAAGAGCCCCGTCAATAAGGCCCCCTGTGAGAAGAGAGCTCGTCACTGTGAGCGTGGATACAATACAGCTTTTTCAATGGATTCAGGTATATTCAATATAGCAAAATATATAGCACAATCAGGAGGACACATATAAAGATGCAATAAAATTAATGAGGGGGTGGAATTGTCAAAGTTGTGATTTTGCGAGGCTTTGATGTATTTGTTGATGATATGACATTGATAGGATTGTGAAAGTTGTGATGTTGTAAGGTTTTGCATTATTTGTAGCTGGTAAACAGATTAGATTTAATGTTTAATTATGTATTTAACAAGTTGAATTAAGTATTTACTTAAACACTTGTATGTAATTCATGTCCATGCCAAATCCTAGGCAAATTTGCTTTTAGATTTATTTTGTGAATTGTGTTGCTCTTATTGAATGCAATTTGAGAAGGACATCAGAGTCAGAAGGTAAAGAGTTGCAAATCCTAAATCAGGTTCAAAAACCTCTATGATGAAACGTGTACCAAACTGTAATCTCACATTCTTTCGCGAAAGCCAAAACGCAGGTCGCGAAAGGTTCGCGAAAGCCCCACGAAAGCCCTCCAGAACAGCGTCGCGAAAGCTTTCGCGAAGGTCGATTTTCTTGTACATGTCATGTGTTGTTTATGTAGGCGACCATATTTTTATGTAGGCTGCCGCAGCAGACCAGCCAGCAGCAGCAGCACTCAGGGGAAATTCGAAACACCCAGACGAATTTCCGCGAAAGCCTCGCGAAAGAACCGCGAAAGTCGATAATCTCCGGGAAAGGTAGTCCCCCCCATTTGGCCCCAGCAAAAATGTTTCCGCAAAAAACGGCGCAAGCTGCAAGGACTGACAAAGGGCCCCAAGTCTGAGTCGACCTCCTCCCCTGGAAGTTCATCATCGTTTTCCTCCTCTTCTGATTACAACAATAAAACTTGAGCAAATTGCTTGGACATTTGACTGGTCTGCATGGAATCTAGCAACAGCCACTTACAGTGTTTGTGTCATTTGCTTTGAACGCTACTGTAACCTTTTTGACACCTCTACCTATTTAAAGGATCGATAGGCTATGTTTTCACAGTTTGTATTCTTATTGAAAATCAACATCGAGCAAGCTTTTCCCTTGGTCCACATGAGATGTTTGTTCTCATTGAGCTTACCTTCAGACACCTGCGTTATCATTTAACAGACGTGCCACCCCAGCGAAACTCCCCACCTCACTATGTCTTCGGCACAGATCAGCTTCCAAGGAGGCAGCCTCAAAGCAACAACTCACACGATGCAAGTAAAATAAAATTAAGAGTAGTGGTATTTCAAGATCGCCAAAGCTCCCACTTATGCTACACCTCCTAAGTCATTTCACAAAGTCGGGCTAGAGTCAAGCTCAACAGGGACGGCCGTTCATCGTCATGGAATATTTTTGGGTGGGCCTCCAAAAATACATAGCCGATTGCAATTGAGTTCTTGACATGAACCTATAGAACATGTAGTATGTATTTGGGGAGATCTTCTGGAGGGAGCTGCGTCACAAAGATAGCTGCATGTGCAACCTATGTAAAAGTTGTGTTTGTTTGGGTGCCAGGCGCCCACTTGATAGCTGGCACGGAGAATTTCTTCAGCCGCGAACTTAATTTACATGTGTTTGCATTTCAAAATCCCACGTTAAAACAAAGCTTGCCACACCGCGAGGTCAGCTGGTAAGTACAAGAAACTATTGCGCGAATGCGCCCCAGAGGCCCTGGTCAAGATTTTGCAGTTATGTGCAGCTGCATGCAGCTGTGAAAGATTCAAAAAAGAACATGCATCTGAGATCATTTGAGTAGTTGCGCAGTCTTTCGCTACAACTTTCTCAGGCAGCTGGCGCTCTATGCTGTGTTGTTTTGGTTGCCATGCTGCGATTTCGCGGCGATACAATTAGTGGAACGCTCGACGCGCATTCCCTAGAGGCCCAGGGCCTATTGACAACTGGGTCAGGGAAGTTGGAAAGACAGTCTATGACGTACTTGGCCAAATTGCAGGTGCTTCACTTCTTTTTCTGGTCTTATGTTTTGTGACTACTGCAGCTGTTGAACTGTTGCCGGCCGGTTTTGCCCTCGTTAGCACTCATAGTACCAGAACTCACCATCCACCCCTACCAATCAAATAGAGAGATCATTCGCTGCGGGTTTAGATTAGGGTTTCGGGTTATCCGCATGAAGTCACTGCTGTTCTCTCGGATCTATTGACAACTTGGTGATTGTCGAACCGTAAAAATAGTCTCTTTTAGATTTGCGTTTGTATTGCGATTTACAGTGATAGATCTCCGCAAAATTCAGTAGATTTGTACAAAAGACAGCCACCCAATGTGACACGTCTGGCAGCTGGTCGTGCTAAACAAAATCAAGAAAGAAAACAGAATGCATGCGATCCGGTGAAAAGTCTGCGCGCATGCCAAACTGAGGGACAAAGACTTTACTGAGCCAACTCTGTAGATTTATAAATTGAGAGGCGTGAGGGTTGAAATGCTTGGCCCATCCTCATAGTATTGGCTCGCCCAGGAATCACAGTGTGCCCTCACAGGCTTTCTGGGGCACTCAATTCCCTATAAAAAGACTGCAATAGGTGCTTTTCCCAACTCGTGGCAGATCTTTAACTTTAGACAAGCAACGAAAGGCCATTTCGCAGGTGGCAACAAAATGTTGCTTATGGCGAAGTCGTCGGAGACGTTGATGCACCAAGGCAAGTTGAGGCTGACCCTGTCTCCGTTGTCGTCACTTGGTTTGCGCAGTCAAAAAAGTGTCAGTGCAATTCCAGAGAGGTAGGCGATGGTGGCCGTCAAGGTCCACCAACCGTACCACACTCGGTTGGCACGATGTTGAAGGATGGCTGGATGGATGGATGGATTTGCAGGACGCCGAAAATGTCTTTCATTGCGCTACCCGCTCATGTAGAGCGGTTCTACCAAGAAGAGCCAGCGTTATGCCGCCGTCGTGAGGAAGTGCAGCAGCCGTGCCAGTTGCAAACTAGGCTCAGGAGCATCAGCAGCCTTCAGGTAGAGGATCACTGCAGTCTGCTTAGTCCAATCTGGTAGATGTTCATGAAGGCGTGATGGTCGATCATCATCCTTTTCAAGCCAGGTGCCGTCCTCCAGATGGAGGAGGCAGACATAGTGGCCACCACGGATCGGAATGACAATGTTCTCAGCCAGGATGACATCCGGGATCTGGCAAGTGTCCCCATGACACAACAGACCTCGGTCCAGGTGCAGGCACTTGCAGGGAGTGTGCTTCAAGAAGGCTGAGCGCCGAGCGCATGTCCAAACCAAACAGCCAGCTCTCAACGCAGTGATTGATGTCCATCTCTTCCAACCAATTGAAGGACAGCAAGCAATGTGGCCGTCCTTTTTCATGAGTCACAGCGTGAGACCGTGAGACCCAGCATGGAAGTGTTGCTCCCATTAGTGGTCCAGCAAGGGCAACTGTCCCCATTCAAGCGCCCCCCCGGCTCCACAACATTGTTGATGTGGCCAGGAACCCCAGGTGTGCATCAACGGTTGTATTGCCTCCTGCCTTGTGTTTGCGTAGCTTTCCAAAATGGCCATCCAGGCAGCTGGCTGAGGGCCCCATACCTCAGCTGGTAGAGCCAGCAGGTGGTTCCTGAAGCAAGAGCCAAAGTAGCCCAGTAGTCACCAGCAGTCTCAAGCAAGTAGCCCATTGATATAGGACCAGCAGTCCGGGTTGTTGAGCCGAACTTGACAAAGAGCTTGTCTCAAGTGACTCAAGTGAGGACGGTCAGGAGGATGTAGAGACAGCATCAGCTGCCCTTCTTGCCCTTGTTCTTGGTCTCGGTCCCTGGGTGTTGTCCCTGGGTGTTGTCCGGGCGGATCTGCTGTTGTAGGGAGTTGGCCATGTTGCAACGTCGGAGCATTGTGAGGTTTCATAGTCATTTGGAGGAGTTGCCACACACACTGTTGTAATTAGGCTAGTTTGGAGAGCAGATTTCAAAGCCTCATCTCCCTCAGGGCCAGTAAAGCTTCCCGAATCTCTGGAACGTCTCGATAAGGGTCTTCATAGGCAAGCTCTCACTTTCTGATTGATCTCCAGTTTGTTCTGGCCGTGGTTCCGTTGCAGGTAAGGCCAGGTGCCGTCGGTCAAGATCACTTGTGTGGCAACAGTCTGCTGCCACGGCGCAGAGTTGTGATCCATCTGGGAGATCTTCTGGCACCTTCTCGAAGATACCAGGACCATCCTCAGCGGCAAGGATGGAGGTTTGGAGCTTTGCATTTCCTCCGTCCACGTAGTGGTGGCTTTCACCATGAGGGGTTGAATGCCCGTCTCGCCCGTTCTTGCCAGGCTCTGAAGCTGGTCTTCGTGTTTAAGCATGAGCTGAATCATGGCTTTCACCAGTTGAGTGACCCATTCGTTGTCAGCACTTGGTTTGCGCAGTCAAAAAAGTCTCAGATATCATCAGATATCAGATATCCCACTGCCATTCCAGAGAGGTAGGCGATGGTGGCCGCCAAGGTCCACTAACCGTACCACACTCGGTTGGCAACGACGTTGAAGGATGGCTGGATGGATGGATGGATGGATCTATGGATCTATGGTTCTATTTGATTTTTTCCCGAAAGCACCTGCGAAGGGTTATTCCTTAAGCACTGCTGCCTATTTCATCTTCCTTAATCTCTTTCTCTTACTTCATCTTCCCCACTCTCTCTTCCTTACTCTCTTTCTCTTACTTCATCTTCCCCACTCTCTCTTCCTGACTCTCTTTATCCTACTTCACCTTCCTTACTTCATATTCTTTACTAACTTTCTCCTACTTCACCCTCACAACATCATCATCTAATCATCACCTCATAGGTTATTAATCTCATATCATATCATATTATATCATATCAGGTTATAATATCAATATCATATCACATCACATCAATGTCATAACATATCATATCATATCATGTTTTAATATCATATCACATCACATCAATGTCAGATCATATCATCTCATATCATGTGATAAAATAATATCACATCACAACATAACATATGAAGTAGAAGTATCAGATCAACAATATCAAAGTACATCAGAAGTAGATATTGATAGGTAGGTATTGATAAGTGGGTATAGACAGGTAGGTGTAGGTAGGTAGGTGTAGATAGGTAGGTGAAGATAGGTAGGTGAAGATAGGTAGGTGTAGACATCTTCCTTAAGACACCTACCCAACTTCACCTACCCAACTTCTTCTTTATTCTTCTCTTTAGGCGGCGGGGCGGTGCGAGCAGGTCTTACGAAACGCAACCCTCTCGTGGAATCGTGGCCATCGATCGCGCGCGCGTGTGGTGAGACGCGAATCGCGTTTGTCCGTGAGCAACCCTCTGCGGAGATCGTGCGTGTCGATCGCGCGAACGTGTGGTGAAACGTACATTTTTGGTGTGCGCGGTGCGTTCCGCCATTATAATTCTGGTGACAAGGTTTTGTCGATTTTGCGTTTCCCCATTGTAATTCTGGTTTCAAGGTTTGCCCTCGAGCAACCCTCTGCGGAGATCGTGCGTGTCGAGTGCACGAACGTGTGGTGAAACGTACATTTTGTCTGAGCGCGGCTGGGCGCACCATTATAATTCTGGTCACAAGGATGTCGCCAATGTGCGGTCCGGACCGCATACTCATTGGGAAATGCGACTCCAAGGTCTGTGCCCGGTCTGTGCCCGGATCGTTCCCCCATTATAGTTCTGGTCGCAATGATGTCGTGAATGTCACCTCTGAACTTTCTACAATGCGCGCTCTGGACGTCATACTCGTTGGGAACCGCGATTTCATGGTTTGTGCTCGGATCGTTTCCCCATTGTAATTCTGGTCACAACGATGTCTCCAATGTGTGCTGTGGACTTCATACTCGTTGGGAAATGCGATTTCATGGTCTGTGCCC